CATATATTTTTTTACCAAAATTACACAAAAATATCTTGAAATACTAAAGAATAAAGTGTTACAAAAGGTTTTGTTGGTCTCTTGCTTAACTGTGCTCCACACATAATAATCACTGGGGCTGCAGCCAGATGTAAGGGGCAATGTGGTTACAGAAATTGACAACCATGTCTGGGTTCTCCTGCTTATGTCACATGGTGCAGAGTCTTGTTGTTAGACATACTGTCTTCCAGCAGCAATCATTTTGACCCAGGGCAGCACTACCTCCTCAAGGGACTTGATGTAGGTGTGTTGAGACTGAGGCACTCACCAACAAATTCAGGAGTTGATTTATCAGAGCAACCAGGGTGAATTTTCCAAGCTACTGTACCTTCGTAATCACCATTAGACTCATCCAACTTTCTCTGAATCTTTTGTGCTGTCCTCAGATTGACACCAAAACACTCTGAAATGTTTGTATTGGTGCTTCTGGTGTGAATGCCAAGTAGTACAGCATGTATTTTCCAAATTTCTGGCAGTGAATTGCGTGAGGGTGCTCTTTTTCTTACAGACAGTGCTCAACTGGCCCTACTATACTGTGTAGTCAACAAAAACAATGTGCATTCATTAGAAGAGAAAAACATTGCCAGTGCATATTCATACAATTCTTTTAAGTTTAATTTACCAGAATAAAACACACACACACACATATATATATATATATATATATATATATATATATATATATATATATAATGAAATATGCATCCCACTCACTGACGGCTGGTGGTATATTTATTATTAGTATAAATTTAGCTATGTTATTATACATTGAGCACTGTGCAATATTTATATATGCTCGTGTGTGTAAAATTTCAGATGTAACTAAAAATATCTGTAAAAGGACATTATGAATAAAGACAAAAGGAAAACATATCTTAGCCAATGTGTTTTATCTTCTGTTGGATTTTATCAAATCAAATGTCATTAGCTTTTCAAAATTTTCAAATTCAAGAACACTCATAAACATACATCTGGCTAACTGAAAAGTCAGAGACTGGATTGCTGAAAAATGATATTACCAATTTCATTAAAAACTATCAACATAACTCTGATTTCAGCAAAGGATACATTCAGGGTGTTATTACCGCCTCACTTGTTTTAAAAAAAAAAAAAAAAAAAATTAAACTCCGCTAATGATATATTTCATTTTACTTTGATTTATAAATACTTGTTGCAAAATAAAATTGCTATATTTGCCTTCATAGTCTTATCAGAGGATGAAATGTGTCTGCTTAGATAAGTTTTCCTTTTGTCTGTTATTTATTTATATATATGTGTGTGTGTGTGTGGGATACCACAGAACTTATAGATAGTTTTAAACAAGCAGGACTGCATATTTTTCCTTAAAAAGGTAACCTTTTTTTTCAGCCAACACCTTATCAGAAGAATCATTGGAAACAATAATTGCAGGAAATACAGACACATACATACATACATACATACATATATATATATATATATATATGGATGGATGATACCTACTGCCTCTTTAATAATGAGGCTGAAGCCGACAAGTTTCTCACCAAATTAAATCCTGTCCATCCTGCTCTTAAGTTCACTGTAGAAAAGGAGTCCAATTCTTGTCTTTCCTTTTTGGATGTTCTTCTCCATAACATCATTGACAAGTTTGAGACTTCCGTATTTAGGAAGGCTACTTTCTTGGGACTTTATACGTGTTGGGACTCTTTTTGTCCCAGATAACGAAAGATTAATTTGATTAAGGCCTTAACTCACAGAGCACTTCAGTTTTGTTCTGAGGGCCTTCTCTGAGAGGAAATTGAGTTTGTAAAAATGACACTTCCTAAAAACGGATATCCTTTGGATGTTTCAGACTCCGTTATCCAAGACATCATTAGTAAATTTCATAGGGTTAAGACACATTTTGTTGATAAATGCCCAGTTTATCTGCATCTTCCCTATATTGGTACAGAGAGTGAGAGTTTATCTAGACGAATTTCACGTTTGATCAATAGCTGTTATTTTTTGGCGAATATTAGGGTAACATTTGTTACCCATCCTGTTTTCTCTTTCATTTGTAAAGACGTCCTCCCTCCCCATCATGTTAATTCAGTGATTTACCAATATAAGTGTAGTTGTGGACTCAACTACATAGGGAGGATGTCCCAGCATTTGGATTGAAGAATAAAACAACATTTACTCCCCAGGATTTTGAATCCAGCTGCCAGGTAGAGCACACTAACCAATACTTCTGGCTCTGCTATTGCTGAGCATGTAATAAATAGTAGGAAATGTGTGGTTAATTTTAGTGAGGACCATTTTTTGATTTTATCTAGGTCCCACTCCACATTTCACCTCAAGGTTCTAGAGTTCTTGTATATCAGATCCTGTGGGCCTTTCCTTTGTAAACAGAGGAAACACTTACTGAATGTGAATGTTATTGAACTCTAGTTTCTTGAAATTCATTTTTTTTTTTTTTTTTTTTTTTTCCTCTTCCATTTCATTCCATTCATTAATTTAATTTACATGCTTTTATAAATTTTCTATTCCCAGAAACAGTTGTTTGTTTTTTTGTTTTTTTAATAAAAAATGCATTATAAAGTTTGGTTAAATAATTTAGACATATTGATTTATTGTGGTTGTGATCTTTTCAAGTTCATAGATTAATTTCTTGTTAGCCTTAGAAAATTAATTAAGAAAAAATACCAAAAGTTTCTTTCAAATGATTTTTATTTTCCCAAGTACTTTCAATCTCATCTGAGACCATCATCAGAGGTTCAAACTGTCTGTGAATAATTTGAAAGGATCACAACCAAAATAAATTGACATGATATGTCTAAATTATTTAACCAAATCTGTTTGAATGAAAATGCTACCAAAAAATACACACATACTAAGAATTAAGATTACATTAGGTTAATGATCATTTTCACTTTGTAAATTGAAATCAAATTTACAAAGATTTTTCAAACCAGTCAATGGATGATAAATTATTGAAATGAAAATGGCCAGACGGAAGAAGAGGGAAAAAAAAGGGAGCAAATAAAAACTAGGAAGTCTGAATAATTTTAAATAGACAAGCGTCTTTTGCTGTATCACAGCTCATTAGTGTTGCTAGACATCAGATTGCTTGAAGCCGGGATCAAAACCCGACCAATTTGGCATCAGTTGGAGATCTTACTTCCTAAGCTATCAGTGCACGGCAGAGAGAAAGGAAAATTCTGTATATGGATGTAAACAAATGCCAGTAGCCAACAGTGCTCAATTCATTAATGAACAGCAATGTGTTAATAGTGGTGCTGACTACTGCTTTGGAATTACTTTTTCCTTAAGAGTACTCAATGAAAATGATGAGCGTTTTTTATATATATATATATATATATATATAATTGATATATCACTTTTTTTTTGTTTTTCAATATTATATGGTAGTATTATATAAAGGGGTTAATTTATGTGATAATTAATAATTACATAATTATTATAATTTTACAACAATATTATGCACTAGAAGATAACTTAAGATGTTTTATTGTTATGTAATAATACATAATTATGATGTTTATATAGGCTCTATTTTATATTTTTTTATATATTTTAATGAAATGGTATGATTATTTATGAAGTATTTAGAAATTTATTAACATTATAGGTCTTTTTAAAATTGTGGTGTATATATCAATATATAATATTGATATATATTGTATTATTTGGTTTGATGAAGTGGTATTTGAAAATTTACCTTAGTATATTTAAAGATTTTGTATTTTTTTATGTATATTTTATTATTTTTATTAATATTTATTATGGTTTTTTAAATGTAATATTTAATATATTATTTAAAAGGTTTTTACTATTAATTAAGTTAGTATATTTTTATTTTTTATATAGTGTTATCATATAAAATTTATTCTAAGGGCACTTGTTTTTTTTTCACTTTATTCTAAGAGCACTTGTTTTTTTTTCACTTTATTCATGTAGATGTTAAATTAGATACTTCTATTTTTTTCTGATATATTGTTTTTTTTAATATATCTTCTTAATTGTCTGTCTTTCATATAAATATATTTATCTCTTAATTTAAATTAATATTAGTTTTGTTTATAGATTTATAAAGGTTAAGTCTAAACTACCTTCTCGTTGCTATTGTGTTTAAAATAAATAGGTCATTTCTTCTCTTTTTCTTTATTTTCCTCTCCCTTTCTCCTTTGGCCACCCCTCATATCCAGACTTGCATTACTTCCTAGTTTTTATTTGCTCCCTTTTTTTCTCTTTTCCTTTCCTTCTTCTGTCTGGCCATTTTCATTTCAATAATTTATCATCCATTGACTGATTTGAAAAATCCTTGTAAATTTTATTTCAATTTACCAGGTAAAAATTATAATTAATCTAATGTAATCTAAATTCCTATATATATAATGATTATTGGATTTTATTTATAATACAAAATTATTTCTTATAATAATCACCAAATCCAGTTGAAACGTGTTTGAGTAGACATCTGTTGTTAATATCAAAATATGAGGCACACTAAATGCACTAAAAGGGGATGTTGGCTTTAAATAGTGACTAAAATTTCAATTGTGCATTTAACATATTAAACAGATAAGTCAGTTGCTCATTTAATGCTCGTGTCTTGATAGAAAACTCATGTCACCTATAAACGTCTAAAGGAATGCCTTGACAGTCACCTCTTTTCCCAACCTCTCACCATCACTTGTGATGGGTGTTGGTACAAGAGGCTGGAACCAGATTCCATGGATTATCAATGAATGATTGAAAATTAACAAAAGTGATATTTGGTCATTTTAACCAACCACTATTTTTATTTTATTTGATTTTTTTCTAAAATCTTGGCATATTTCAGTTTTCACTTTGTATATTTGGCTGTAAAAAAAAAAAAAAAAATCTTTTATGTCATAATTCATTTTCTCAAAGTGTTTGGCTCTGTAAGTTCTGTCTTGATAGAAGATCTTATAGTTTTTCTTTCTCTGCTTCTCCAGGAGTTGCTTGTTCAAGGAGACCAACTGGACAATATTGAAAGAAGGACAGACGAGATCACTAACACAATGACTGCAACCCAGAAACATCTCAACAATATAAGAAGCGTGTTTGGAGGTGTCAAGAACTTTTTCAGCCGTGGCAAAGACAAGGCAGCTGAGGAGATTCCTCAACCTCCACCTCGCCAGAGTCGGTTAAAGGAAACAGTAAGCCAAGTAGAAAAGGATCGACCACGAAATCCAAATATCGATTATAGTGGCCTGCAAGACGATACTAGTCCTACTGATTTGGACAGCAAGTTTCTGGCTGGAAGCCGCAGACCTGAAGTACAAAAAGCTGAGTATATACGAAGGATAACCAACAGCCAACAAGAGGTGAAAATGAATCAGAATTTAGGTAAGTGACAATGTAGATTTTTTGTTTCATAATTGACTGAGAAAACTATAAGCTCTATTCACTTTATACTAATAAAGGTTTCACATTTTCAAATATCGATCCATCTGTGAACTTTAGGAAATGTTTACTACATTCGTTCGAGTTTTTTTGTCACATGACAGTGTCATAAATGACATTATTGTTAATTTAATTTTTCTTTCTTCTTCATTTTTAATTTGCATTTTAATTTGTTTTTTAATTTAGTTTTTATCACTGTTACGAACTGGTAACATATGTATGTGAACACTCAGTTCAAAATAAGAAAAAGATGGGATTGCTCAGATAGAAACCCATAACACAGGTCTCAGCAGACAACAGACATAGGATGAAAATTTAAAAAGAATTTTATATAACAAAACAATTGAATAGGAAGAGAATGTAAGATATGACATAAGATCAACAAGAGGCATTTATCTGTTACTGGATATCACTCGGATTATCCACGAATCATGAGTTCATAAGTTGAAGTGTTCATAACAGCAAACAATTCTTCAGAATGTCCAAACGAAAATTGGTAATTACTTCTTTTGAAATATAAACTGGTAGTTTCCAGAATGGTATTTCTGTTTTATTCTACATCTAGTAATCAAAATAAATCCAAGATAAAACTGGGAAGATTTCTTCATGAATAATAGTTTTTTATCCGGTACACATCTAGTAATCAAATAAGACCATAGGTGCATTTCTAATGAGTGCATGATGAGTCAATTTGACTTGGAGATTTACAGTTGGCAGCTCATGTCACGTGGGCTTTTATTTACTTCATTAGGAAGTCAAACTGCCAGGTTGTTAAGTGACCCAGATTCTATCTTGCCACTTCTGAATCTAGACAAAGAATAAAGGAAGAGAAGAAGGCAGAAAGAAAGAGGAAACACAAACAAAGCATGTCTCTTGATAGATTGATAATACATCTGATTTTAATTTAAATATTGAGGGCCATGTCACATCACACACACACACACACACACACTGAAAAATAAAATTACTGCACTTTGTTTCAATTTAGTCAAGATCAAGCATACTGTACCCCAGCTATATTACTTGTAAGTGGTTTACTGTACAGATCAATAAATGTGTAGGCTTCAGAAAAAGTAATCCCTTAACAATATTCAGATCACATCAATGTACATTGCATATCCTCTTTTTGGGTCTTGTCATAGGCTTGTACTCTTGCATGCAACTGATTGTACATATGACAAATGCCATCCTACAATACATTATGCCAAACCTCTCCCACTTGAAGATGGGCTGAACAAGTCAGGCATTGTCCTATCATGTCGTATATATATATATATATATATATATATATATATATATATATATATATACTAATAATAAAATATACATTTTTTCCTCATCGATGAGGAAAACAAATGTATATTTATTATTAATAAAAAATCTTATTGTTCAAAGGTTTGACAATAATACTCACCAGGAAAATTGAACATCTTACAGAGCATGTTGAATAACATGGGCATCATGTAGACAGGTATTATACTGCTGGAACATCACATTACTTTCCTGTTGCAAGTATAGTAACTGAACAGGTTAACAATATTCTGGATGTACATGGTACTGTTCAATGTTCCCTCTGAAATCATCAAAGGCAAATTTTCCTTATTAAGTTTATTCGAGTGTAGAAGATTGTAGACAAAATAGATATGGTTTTAAAAAAAACAGCACTTATTCAAATATGAGTTTCCACTAAAAATGGCATTTCAAGTAATAAAAAATATGTTGGATTAAAAAATAAATCCATTAATTCTTTAGAAATATATATAATCATATAAAATTGTTGGATACTCATTTCCAAATACAGTTGTCTGCTAGAGTGGCTGCTAATCTCTTTGCAGACACCATCACTGGCACATTTGTGCTTCTCAACACTTATACAACAAACCTGTGGTTTATACTGCAACTATGCTAAGCAGAACATAGTTACAGTTTCTGTGAGAGAGAAAGCATACAATTTGGTATGATCAACACTTCTGAACAAACCCAGTATGCTTTAAACCCTCGGTCATGGTGACTTGTGACTTCATTCTAGTATAACCATTGGCAACATCCAAACAGTTTTGTCTAGCCAATTTCACTCAAGACTTGGATGAATCTGAGGTATGGTTTTCAGGCACTTCCCAGTATTGTTTCATGTTGGGATAGTCTCCTCAGGACTCCAATTTTAACCTGGATCATTGATAACTCTCTCCTCCAATTTGCAGACCTTAGTTACTCTATTCTTAATACTTGATATAATGTAAAAATATCACAATAATAAAATCGGTCAATAATTATTTATAACTATTTATACTGAGATTCAATACATTTACAAGTAATCCATAATAATATTTGAAATTTTGAAATCATATTTATTTTTTGAAATTGTTTCTAAATCTTTGTATTTCAATCATTTCACCTCCCCTGCTATCCTTTTCCACTGCACATATGAGGTGTGTTGCACCATTTAGAAACCACTGACTTAGTATGACTCCAAACTATTTAGTACCCACCCTCATATAATACCACACATGAGCCATACTCCAAAAGTATATGCTTTCTATTTATTTACAAAGAAAAACTACCGCAGATACAATAACACTACTTGATAGGGAAAAACCTTCATTGCTAAAACACTTTTATTTATTTTTTTCAAAAATAGACATCACCATTTGTTATGCATTTTGTCAGTTGTGCAGGGACACACAGACCATCCCTTTTCATCACTGCTAAAATGCATTGTCCTCTGTCTGACTGTGTTCACATCCACTTTTTGGTGGTTGTAAACATTTGCCCAACATTGAAAGTCTTTATTCACATGGAGGAATTTAGTAATACACTTCTTTGAACACTCTTTCATGTCAGACACTATTTTGCCAGACTCTTATCCGAAACAAGGTAAAAGAAATTGGATGGGTGGGAAGAGTCAACTACTATACCACCAACCTAATGAAATTGGAATCCTTACTTTCTGAGTGAACCTCATAAGAGGAATCTTATCTCTTCCTGCTCTCACTTTTGAACAGTTTCCAAAATGAAACTTGAAGGATTTTTTCCCCTTCTCCTGTCTTGGATAAACAAGTTTTCTTTGTTTTTGTTTTTTTTTTATTATTACTTATTTATTTTTTTATTATTTTTCTTTGTTTGTAGATCTGATGTCAACTGGTCTTTCTCGACTAAAGGGACTTGCAATGGAAATGGGCACTGAGATAGAAGAACAAAATTTACAACTTGACCGCATTAATAACAAAGTGGATTTTGCTGACGACCTTCTTCAGGACCAGAATAAACAGCTGCGAGGAATCCTACGTAAATAAACGCATAGTTTAAAGGACATCCATCTTATTAATGATACTGATGCTAAAAAAGGAAAAAAAAAAAATCTTTTGGGCTATTTCTTTAGTCTCTCTCTCTCGTGTATGTGTATATATATATATATATATATATATATATATATATATATATATATATATACTTTTCATCTGATAGGATTTTAATTTTTCAGTTTATTTTTTCTATTTTGAAAAATGTCATTCATTTATTTCTAAGTTCAAGACATTTTTTCCTTTTTTACATTTTTTTTCAAGCTACCTAATCAATGTTAAACCTGATTTTTAATTGGATATGTGACTATTTGAAAAGACAAGTGTTGCTAAAAAAAAAAAAAAGAAATTTAAAAACTGGTTTAAAAAAAAGCTGCAGTTAAGCAACATTGGCCACCACTTCAGTGATTATCCTCAATTATCAGTTTTACGATACTTGTAAAAAAAAAATCAAACAGTTCTGGCATAATTTTTTTTAAATTATGAAGTTAAGCAATGTTTTGTGAGATGAGTTACCATTTGAAAGAAAGTGAACTCTTTCAACATTTTTCTTGAAACATTTTTGTTTTATCTAACAGTTAAGCAATATTTGCTTATGATTAGTACATTGAAAAACTGGTTCTTTCTTTAATCCTTGCCATTAAGCAACATTAAGGCTGGCCAGTATGTGGATGGGTGACTGTGATATTGTAAACATTTTTTGTTCCAGTAGCCAACCAGTTTTAAACTGGATTTTTTTATTTTGTTTATTTTTTTTTTTTTTTTTTTTTTTTTTTTTTTTTTTTTTTTTAATGGGAATATTGTCTGTGTTTGTCTCATCTACAAGATAGGAAAATGAATGTTTCTAAATGGAGAAATGTTTCAAATAATGTAAAATGTTAAATAATTCTCGATATTTCTGAGATGAGGTATTGTAATTATTTAATTTGTTTGGACTGTTGTCCTCATCTTTATTGTCATATTTGCAATGTTTCAGCCATTGTACGCTCTGGCCTTCTCCAGGTGATTGGAATTTTGAACTGAACCCATTATTTTGTCCACCCAATGGATGAAATAAAGGGTTCAGTTCAAAATTCCAATTGCCTAAAGAAGGCTGAAATATTGTGAATATAACAATGTAAATAATTGAAAAATTTTTTACTTTTACAACTCTTTTTTTTTTTTTTCTTTTGTTTTTTACTTTTTTTTTTTTTTTCCTCCTACAAGAAACTTGGCTGACTTGAAAAATTTACCCACTGTATTGGAGAAGTTCCTCAAGATTCAAATTTTTTTATCTTTCTCTTAATAAAAGGTTGATAAAACAAAATCTAATCTCATTTGATTTTCCTGTTTTGAAACTAAGATTTTATTTTAACAATATTAGGAAAGGGAATTGTGACTAACAATTGGAATTTCTCTGATACAATGAGTTAATTTGTTAAAGTAAGATTGTTGTTCTTCCCCAACTTTCTTGTCTATTCATTTTTCTTCTTTTGTATGAGAGGTAACCCTATAACCTGTTGATACCTTTTCAGAGAAAAATTGATTTACAAAAAAGAAATTAATTAACTCCTTTGCAGTTCCTATTTTTTGTAGGTGGTGAGTAGGTGTGTTCTACACATCATATTCAATAGGGAAGCTGCTGCTTTTAAGTTATGTGCATTTTAGGGGTT